GTTCAGCTAAAAGGACTTCTGGAAGTGTGTACCCCAACCTCATCCATAAAACTATTTCCACACCTTACATCATTATGGAACTGAATGAGAAAAATTCCAAGAGTGTTGAGACAACTCGGATATGTATTTTCAATTGCCATGGAAATTAACGGAATGACATATTATCCAAAATCTTAGCTGAGGTTCTCAAGGTTGTCTATATAAGGCAGGAGAACATACTGTCAATGAGCTTGCACTGCATGCAAGTCTTTTACAAGCATATTCCATGACCATGTACAATACTAAAAAGTTTGAAAAAGCACTGTAATTAGATCACTGAGGCATTAAATAAGCCAAAACTAGAAGATTGAAGAAAAAATGAAGTGATATGATGGCTACGTATAAAACAGTAATGGGAATCAACAAAATTGAGAGGGATGAATCCCCGAGACCTGGAACTTCAAGAACAAGAAGTCGTAGATTTAAACTAGCTAAACAAAGCTGCTGAAGAAATATAAGAAAATTCACTTTTGCCAACAGGGTGGTAGATGGTTGGAACAAGTTAAGTGAGGTGGGTGGTGCAGGCTAAAACCATTAGTAGTTTTAGAGCATTATATGACAGTGCTGGGAAGATGGTACACCACGAGTGTGGCTTTCATCCTGTAACTACACGTAGGTAATTACTACTCTTGTAACCTGATCACAAAGTGGAAGTAAAATTAATTAGGACACAACTAATGAAAATTATATAGAAGAGAATAATGAGGTACAGGTCTTGGACAACCTTTTGTGTGGAAAATTATTAAGTTAAAGGTAGATCTAAACTTGACTTCTATGAAACAATAATTTGATTGCTAATGATTAAATACCTGAAATTCTAGTACAGAAGCCATTTTTTCTCTTCTATGAAAAATAAAATATACATGATGATAGTACTATATATGCTGTATAGTATAGCCTAAAACCATAAACAGCAATGCTTCTGTTACCTTGAAATATTCCATGTTGAAAATGATGTCAAGTACATTGATCACTAACTGGTTTGGACTTTAGTATAGTAATTTGAATATCTGGGTAACTTATCCAAAATTGAGAGGTGTTTGGCATTCTCTTGATTCCAATAAAGCCCTCCCCCAAGATAGGGGAGCTGGAGAACCACCAACATAAGACTACTCTGAATCTGCTGGCATGAACACCAAGGGAGCAGAAATGGATCTGTCTCCAGCATTACCTCCTCCAGAATTTACAGGGTCTTGAGGCGGATATCACAAATGCAGTCTTGAAGTTTCAAAAGAAACAAAACATGAAGCACCCCACACATGACAATGTCCCAGGTTCCCATAGAAGCCAGAGTGTTATGGGTGGTAGCAGGCATGTGTAGTGAATGTTGGTTGGCTGGACCCCCAGATGACCCATGCTGCCACCTGGTGGCATTGACTCATTGCATCGACACATGTTGTGTATTGACGCAATGACTGTTTACCACTGGCAACTACTACTAGCTTTGTTTTCTTTCGTTTCTCTTTCTAATCAAGATTACTGGTTTGTTTTGCTTCATTTGTACTTTCCAGGTGATTTTTCATTATTCTGGCTTGATCTCTCATCCCTATGCTTTCCTCGCCTGTACGAGTGCGCACCAGATTCTGTATGTGATGTTCATCAGGCCTGAAAGCATTGTGGGTGTGTCTGTGGTACCAGAGGCTAATGCACCAGGAAGCAACTGAGAGGCCAGCCCATTAAGAGAATATACCTGTAATGCATGATTTATTTGCTAAAACTTACATTACTTATAACTATCTATTAATTCCCATAAAATACAAACCAGTTGTGAGGATTTGACAAGATGACAATATATTATGAGTCTGCTAGTATGCTCAGTATCTTACTCAAGCACACATTTGGTTACCTTTCATCAACCACTACCTCAATCCATCTACCAAACTCTGGATTACACAGCACTCAATAAAAGTCAGCTTGAGACATGACAATGTCGCTCACCAATCATCCCACCGTGCTTGCCCAACTCCTTGTAAATGAGGTACATGGAAACAGAACCTAGGCAAGTAAGGAGCTTAATTGTAAGAATTTCCAACATAATATGACTGAATTTTGTATAAAATAACTACTACTTTTGTTACACGTAAAAAATAATTATTCCATTATACTACAACTTCATGATTTTAACAATAGGACCAGTCGAGTCTAATAAACTAAAAAATTATGAGAAACATGTAATAAAAAGCATTACTGTATTTTGTTACCAATTCTAAAGTGAGTGAAAAAAGCTAGCTATGAATGTAATGAAATGCTTCTGTTTGGTAGAGCACCAGTGGGTCTCTGTAGGTTTCTCGCTGAGATTACTCCATATTATGAAGTTACACGAGTCGTGAGAATTCTGTTTGGCCTACTGAGAACCAGCGCTAGAATTTGACCCCCATCATATAGGTGCAGAGAGCAAATAACATGCTGCCATTTTACTTTGAAAACATCCAGAAAGTCAGCAAAACTTTACAGATAATTGCTGGGTTCACGAGAACCCAAACCTTAACACTGCCAAACAACTCCCCCAAAAAGATTCAATTGAAACAAAATAATTCAAAATGAAACAAAAATAATAACTAGAAGCTGTCCTTAATTCACCAGACGCTGTCTGACCCGGTGTCCTTAGGGCCTTGCCTCAAGACCTGTTTGTTTCAGGTTGTCCATGGTGTCATATGCTCTGGGGTGCCTAAGACAACCCTTGGGCCAATGTTGTGTGTTTATTTGCAACTGTCTGCTATCTTTTATAATATGCAATGGGCTGTTATTCAATTTCAGGGGTTTTGGAGGTCTAATAAAGTGTTGGCTGCACGTTGCTTTGTTAAGGTGCAGTGGCCTCATTGGGCTTGTGGGGCTTTGGGCTATGTTAGGCAGCCCTTTTATTTTTTTTTTCCCCTGGGAGGTTTTGGAATTCTGCTCTACTCTATGGTAAAAGCCACTGAGTGGCCCCTTTCAGAAACCTAGTATTGAATATTATTAAACGACTCTTTCTGGAATAACCCCAGTGGCTCCCTAGTGGCTCCCAATCTCCTTTCAGGTGTGTCAGAACATGTTTGGTTTTCTTTTGACTGAAGGAAGCTTGCCAGATGGAGCTAGGAGGCTCACCCCCCCCCCCCAGTGCTGCCACCTGATGCTGAGCAGCTGAAGCAAGGAGGGTGTTAACTAGCTAAGTTAACCAGCAACTTAACTACTGATGGGGGTTATTTCATTTATGTCATTTCTTGGGTTTGTTTCATGCTTTGTTTACATTTGCCTTGCTGTGATCTGTTTTGATTTGCTCTAACTCTCTGGAGGATGATCTGTTCATACAGTCCTCTGCTCTCTCTGCCTATGAGGGAGAAAGGTTTTAACCCTTTGAGGCTGCTACCATCAGGGAGGCCATCCTGTTGCTTCTGGCCATCAAAATAGTGAGCTTCGTGTACTTTTGTTGGATCAGTGCTTCCTTAATGTTAAATCTTTCATATTGTTTTGTCAAACTACAGACACCATCTTTTCTGGTGAAGAATAGAACCTTTCTTTTCTGACTTCGTTCTTTCTTCTTTTGTTCATCATATCCTCTCTTCACATGCAAAGGCTTACGTAGAGTTGTGAAGAATCCATGTAGTGTCTGAACCCAATCATGTGGGATAGAAAGGCTAGCAATGGGGTTAGATTGAGGATAATGTCAAATCAGATCAGAGGAATCAAAGCTGGATTTGGCCATATGAGTGTCATTAGAATAATGGGGCCCAGAGTAACCCTCAACTTCATTAGAATGAGCAGCAGTAGCCAAATTAAAGAAACAAATAAACCACTTCCCAATGACTGCAGTTGATAAGCAGCACATTCATCGCAAATGTCTCCCAATTCGGGAATGGAGTGACATGCAGGAAGCTAACAACACCACTCCTGCACCAGAGTGCTGCAAAGAGTGCTGGGAAGACGGGACACCACGAGCGTAGCTCTCATCCTGTAACTACACTTAGGTAATTACACTTAGGTAATTACCAGAACCTCAACCACTGACCAAGCTGCGAATCAGTAACCACAGGTGCCCCAACATGACAGGAGGTTGAATTAGGATAAGAATAACAATCCTCAAAGAATAGAACTCTGTTGGAAATTGATCATGACGATAGTGTTAGGTTAGGAGACCAAGAAACAGTCAAAATGAATGGAAGGCTAGATGTATGCAATCTTACTGGTATCCCCACAATGAAGATTTGTTTTGACAGCAAAAAATTACCACCAGATTATACTAGAATATTATCCTACAATGAGCCAGTTCATTTAGCCTAAAAGGAAGTGGGACATCTCACACATATTGCTGGGCAAGAGTGCGAGGTCTGGCTCACTCCAACCCTTGGGTAGACTGGGGTGCCTTCTGAATTCAAGATAATTCACTTAAATGGGGACAAATTTGCCAATATATGAACCTTAATGGGGACTGAAAAGTCCTGAAAGGCAGTATTGCTAATTGGCACTTGTAGGGGGGGGAGTGGGGGGGTGAAGAGGGATTGCTTCCTGAAATGTTTCATAGCAGATTGGTCTCTCAATAATGGCTTGAGTTAGACTTAACACTGTGTCCCTTACCTTGCTGTTACCTTGTGATGATTCTTAGTGCTAAGCCCATGGGGCTTAGCGTCCCCGCGGCCCGGTTCTCAACCAGGCTTTCTCGTTGCTGGACTGGTCAACCAAGCTGTTGGATGCAGCTGCTCGCAGCCTGATGTATGAATCACAGCCTGGTTGATCAGGTATCTTTGGAGGATATCTCTTGCCCACATTTTACTCTTGATAATACCATTTGCAAAGATTATCATACTTTTTGAGGTTATGAGAGCCCTGCCAAGTGACACTGGCCAGGTGGTCCAAATAGCTTCTAGCTCAGGAAGCTTCCAGAGGGCCAAAGCTCAGAAAAAATAGAAATTCATCCAAAAGCAAGAAAAAATGGGCAGTCATTTAAAAATTCTGAATCAAACTTTTTGTCAAAATGATTTTCTCACCTGGTGCCCCTTTCCAGAAAGCCTTAGAGCCCTCTTCCTTCCAAATCTTCCTGGCAGCATCCAAAACTCCATTGTAAGTAGTTTGACCAGCACGAGCAGCTACTTGCAACCGGGTTTTGATAACATCAGCTGGAGTGGTTAAGGATGCAGCTGGGATACCACCTACATGGGGGCAAAAAAATAAAAAATTTTTTAGAAGATTTAAAACGGGTAAAACACTGGCACTGATACAATATTGTTTTAAAGAAAATATGCACAAAATAATATCCAGTAAAAAATTATCGATATCCCATGCTTTGAAAGGTGTCATTATATATCCCTATACTACTGTATGTAACAAATTCTTAAAAAGGTCAATTGTGAAACATGTTAATAGCACTTCCTATAGAGTTATACATACCAATAGCACCAGCAATAAGAAGAGTTAGAGGAGTGTTATAACCATTTTCATCTGCTAGAAGACGTTTGGAGTGTGCATAAACAGGGAAATATATAGCAGAAAACGGGATATCTCGTAGCAAACAGGCACGTGCACCCTGAAAATGTTTCCTTATTAATATATTGTAACATGCAAATATTGCTCATGTCATTTCTCAAATATTGAATTTCATTTGCAAATTCTAACATCCTTGGGATGACTTCCATTTAAATGGGATGATTCTACTATTGTAATCAATAACAATTCAAACAATTCATGATATAGATAATTTTGTAATAAGCACGGGTAACACCGATGGGATAACTTCAACTTGGAGAGCTATGTGACATGGACTGGGTACATGATTTATTGGTTGCCCAGGTTCCTTGACTAAATATCTCTTGCTTTGGAGGGAAAGGGAAGTGCTGTAGCAGCTACAATAGCCACAGCAACAGTAGCAGCTAAAACAACGTCCACACCTTTTCCCAGATCAAGCTACTTCTCCCTGCTCAGCTGGAACCCAATGAGAAAGCAGGAGTCACTTCTCCCACCAGTCTGATCACAACTGCTACAATAATGATCACCACAACAACAGACCCTCCCTTCAACACAACCATAACTGGCTACTCTCTCACAGCGTTAAAAAAAACTCAATAAACACCTTCAAAATATACGTCATCACCCAGGCTCTGACAAATATGTCGGGCTGCGAGCAGCTGCATCAAACAGCCTGGTTGACCACACTAACCAGGTTACCTGGTTATTGGTTATTGGTTATTGCCTGGTTCTCATTAAATATGCCAAAACTAGAAGACAGAAGAAAAAGAGGTGATATGATCACTACATACAAAATAGTAACAGGAATTGATAAAATCGATAGGGAAGATTTCTTGAGACCTGGAACTTTAAGAACAAGAGGTCATAGATTTAAACTAGCTAAACCCAGATGCCGAAGAAATATAAGAAAATTCACTTTCGCAAACAGAGTGGTAGACGGTTGGAACAAGTTAGGTGAGAAGGTGGTGGAGGCCAAGACCGTCAGTAGTTTCAAAGCGTTATATGACAAAGAGTGCTGGGAAGCCGGGACACCACGAGCGTAGCTCTCATCCTGTAACTACACTTAGGTAATTACACTTAGGGCCCATGGTACCCGAAAATCCGAAGAAAAATGGAATATTTACGAAAAATTACGAAAAATACTACAACGTTCTGGCAACACTGTGGTGCAAACCGTTTTATCTTATCTTGAAAAATAACGTAATTAGAGTCAAATTTCCCGCTGTAACTTTCGTGAATCTGGTCCTCGCGGCGTTGGTGCGCCGCGGGGTATTGTATCTTACGTTGTAGAAGTCTTATTTTTCGTAATAGCATTGAAAATAACATGTTATGCATAAAATGAATATAAACTCACTCATTGGCAACAGTCAACAGTGAGAGAGAGGGTGGTACGTGGCTCAGCCCCTCAGTCACTGTGTGTGTTTCAAAGGGAGTGGATGTATCGCTGACGTGCTCTCACAATATCTCCCAGAACTCATGCTATTTTTGCTATTTGTACTGCAATATGACTTACCAAACGAACAAGAGAAAAGCATTGAAAGCTAGATGCATGCGAGCTCTCCATAGAAGGTACGAGCTGGCCGCAATGCGTAAATCACGCATTGTCACGAGTGAAGATCGTGACCGCGAGTATGAGTATCTTGTCGCGGCGCGTTACGCAACTCCAACTTTTACAACTAGATCTGCTCTCACAGCCTTTATTTATTATTCAATTTACATGAAACTTGCACATTATATGTAGAGTTTACGCCTCTAAAAACGGTAGTAATTTTTCTTATCTACGTAGATTTATTGATTTTATAAATAATGATACACTTCATTTTGTTGCATACGTTTTTGGGAAACTTTTAAAAATCTGTATTATTGCACTAAATACATCTGGGATAAAGATCTTACTACCAAATCTTTATTATATAGTAAGGTCATAGCTGAGTGTCGTAGAAATGATTTTGGTTCACAATTGTGGGCTGTGAAAGCAATTGAACATTGTTGATAAATTATATAATTTTTTTTTTTTTTCTCCTTCTCTATTTAGGCTGAGATGCTGAAACTTGGCCTAGGTGCAACACCTTTCACATGTATCAGGATAATAAATTATGAATACCCTACAACAATTTTCTTATATCCTGGTACCATGGACCCTTAGGTAATTACTGTAACTCAAATGAAAATGTATATACAGTGGCACCTCGATTAACAAGCGGCTCTATCTATGAGCATTTTGAGTAACGAGCGAGCCACTCGCAGCAAATTTGTCTCTATTGACGAGCTTCACCTCTATTAAGGAGCAAAACTGCATGGGGCTTCTTAGCGTCTCGCGGGTTCTCGAAAATTCTCGGACGCCTCCGACGCCAGTGTTGTTGTTGTATCGTGGATGACAAGCATCCCTCTGCATTTATTTGTTTTTTTTTGTGGTTTTGTGACTACAATTTGTAACGCACAATGTCGCCAAAGAAGCTGCTTGCTAAAGATAGTGTTGTCAAGATGAAGACAGACAATTACTGTGGATTTGAAGAAGGAAATTATAGTAAAGCATGAGCGTGGTGTCTGTGTGACTGATCTCACAAGGGAGTATGGCAGGTTCTCATCAACAATTTGCACGATTAGTAAGGGGATGAGGAGGTAAGGAAGGATGCTGCCTCTTCCAGTGAGATCAGGGAAGTGTTGGCAATGTTTGAAAAGGTGACCGCATTCTTGGAAAAGCTGCCCTGATAAAGCAGTGACAACCCGGTGTGTGAACATGTTTAATGACAATTTGCTGTCTCGTTTTTAGGAACATTCTAAAACAAAGACAAAAGCAATTGTCAATAGATATGTTCTTTGCAAAAGTAGAGAAAAGAAGAGCCATTGATAGTGAACCACAACCTGGTCCCAGTGGGATGAAATTCCCAAGAAGAGAGAGCCTGCCTGACTCGGAGGTGAATTCTCCTTCCACACCATAACCTCTCTCCTCCTTCCCACCTCCCCATTGTCTCCCTCAAGCCAGCAACGACTCTTCATAAGGTAAAGTAAACATGAAAACAGTACAACAGAACATTATATATTTACATGGGCAGTATTATATTTACATTATAAAATGTCATACAAGTATGGATGCTTTTGGGAGTGGAACGGATTAAATTTATTTCCTTTATTTTAAATGGGGAAATTTGTTTCTTAAGACGAGTTTTCCACATAACGAGCTCGGTGCCAGAACAGATTAAAATCGTTAATCGAGTTGCCACTGTATTGCAAACAGCTATTGTATGTCTTTTAATGTCTATCATAAAGAGTAAAACACCATGTAAAAAGTCGAGACACCTGTATTTGTAGTCAAATTGTCTACACTACAGGTCCAATACCAGTAGAGCATTTTAATTTTGCATGCAGTATTGAAAAAATGTACAGTGACACCTAAGCTTACTAATGCTCCTATTTACGAACTTTTCGGGTTAGGAGCCCAATTTCTTCGTAAAATTTGAATCGGGTTTCGAGCTTTGCCTCAGGTAACATAGTTTCTCGATACGCGTATGGGCGACCTAGCGTGTGGTTCCTGGTGGCACGGTCACCAGTGCTTCAGTTTACCAGTGCCTCCTGACTAGTGATGAGCGTGCTTGAATTCTTTGTAAAGAATTTCATAGTTTTTCGTTTTTGGGGGGTTTTGAATATAAAAGTAATTATTTTATATCACACCATGGGTCCCAAGAAAGTCAGTGGTAAGATTCAACTTAAGAAAACAGCTGTGAGTAGAGGAAGTAGAGAATGTCCCTTCCTCATTAAGAAAATGTGTGAAGTATGGGGAAGAACTGTATCTGGGTGAAAAAACTCACCCAGATACAGCTGTAACAGGCCATTGCATTGACCTTTTAAATGACAACGTGATGTCTCACTACAGACAAGTGTTAAAATGTAGGGAAAAACAAGTGTCTTTAGACAGATTCTTAGTAAGATAAGGAAGCAGTGAGCCACAACCAGGTCCTAGTGGTATCCCTGCAAAACGTAGGAGAGAGTACACCCCAGAGAAGTCATCACTGCCTAATGTTATAATGGGAGGGGGACTTCCCTTCCAAACAGTAACACCTCTTCTCGGGGGGGTAGAAATAGCCTAAGCTACTCTATCCCTTTGAGATGTATTTATTGCTTATCTCAATAAACATACTTGAACACCTCTTCTCCACCTTCTTCCCCCTCCCCTCCCCTCCCCTCCTCCTCGATGTCTTCCATACGCCAGCAAGAGTCATCAATAATGGTAAGCTGTAACTTGCACATACTATAGTACTAAATATTTGTGTGAATTAGGTATGAAATGTATTTTGAAGTTAAAATTTTTAGGAGTGTAGAATGGATAAATTAAATTTACATTATTTCTTATGGGAAAATTAGTTCCGGGTTGTGAATATTTCAGCTCACAAACCATCTCTGGGAACGGATTAAATTCTTAAATGGAGGGGCCACTGCATGTGTGAAAAATAGTTTTAGATTACAGTATATCCTATCTCTTGTATGCCTTTCTGTTCCATTTGCACTTCTGTCTAGTATGAGAGTTTTAACTACTATTACCTTTCTTTAATCACCTGAGTATATTACTATTCTTTGTTGAGGCAGTCATGCCTGTTTGAGAATTTGTTATTCTTCCCATTTTTTTTCTTTTAATGTCTTCTGCATAAAGGATTTTTTTAGAAGGTTCTCTCTTAGATCTTCCGTAAAGAAGACATTTGAGAAAGATTTTGCAAGCTTCAGTAGTCTGTTGGTAAATTCTTTGTGGCAGCATTTTCATGCTTAGAACTATTTGTCAAGACATGTTTGCTAGGTCTCTTAATTTTTTCCAGACAGTTCTTTTATTGCTGAAATTGTATTTACTGACCAGTGGCTAGATTCACGAAGAAGTTATGCAAACACTTACGAACCTGTACATCTTTTCTCAATATTTGGCGGCTTTGTTTACAATTATTAAACAGTTAATGAGCTCTGAAGCACCAAGAGGCTGTTTATAACAATAACAACAGTTGATTGGCAAGTTTTCATGCTTGTAAACTGTTTAATAAATGTAACCAAAGGCATCAAAGATTGAGGAAAGATGTACACGTTCGTAAGTACTTGTGTAACTGCTTCATGAATTTAGCCCCAGCTTTCTATTATATCTTTTGAACATACTGTATTATATGTACATATTAAAGTACGTCTGAACATTATAGACTTGTGATCTGAGCATGTAGTATCTGTGATGATAATGTCTCCAATTATTCTTGTCTTGTTAAGATCAAATTGAGAGCCTTTTTCTTCCAATTTAGCTCTTATCTATTAACCAAGCAAAAAATTGTCATAAAATCTATAGCTATCTCTGACTTGTGTTTCGTTATTCTCAATTTATTTCCTTGTTATAATATTATAATATTGTCTATTATTCTTAATCTCAAACTTATTTCAATTCAAAAGAATGATTATGCATGTCAAATGATGATGGTGTGACTCCTCCAGCAGAAAATTGCTTAAAAATCTAGTGCAACACCCAATATGTTCAAGGATGATTCTGCCTGTTCAAATTTTAAAGTTAAATACAGGAATATACTATTTAATATAGGCAATTCTAAACAAAAAAAATCGCACTTACCTTATACAGGCCTAAAAATCCTAGCTCCTTCACAACAGTTAGAGCTGATGGCTTCCTGACAGTTGCAATCTCGCCTGCTACTTGCAACCGAATTTTGACAATCTCAAGGGGGTTTGTGAAGATCACTTGGGAACCACCAGCCTTTCATGAAAATATTGAATATTTTGTTACATTCTGCCCGCTAATTAAGCATAAATTAAATTTATATGTTCTTTATCTTGAGAAAATCGACTTTCTAAACAGTTTTACTCCTGTTGTTGTTTTTGTTTTAGCTTCAGCTACTCGAAACAAAAAGTTCCAAGCAGCACAACCTATGGTGAGCCCATCATACGTACCTAGCACAGGAGATTTATATATAGTGAACTAATATTCATATCAATACACAGTACCCAATTGTGTGGGCATTGTACATCTTGCATCTAGGTATGAGTATCATACTACTCTTGAAAATTCATTTTTTGTTTCCACACAATTTTTAACTTGAGTTTGATAAGAAGATTAATATGCTGATATGACCAACAATGTGTTCACTGGTATCTGAACTTTGCACACTGCCTATCAATCAGGATCTTCTATGACACTATCATTGAAAAATAATCAGCTATTTATATATTTTATAATTATTAATTGATGCTGTGGGTACAAGCTGCACAGCGATGGTGTGGGATGCTGCAGCATGTGCTACCTGTGGTCGCCCTCTCAATACTGAGGCTATCACATCCAGGAGAGATGTGGATGTGCTAGGTGTACCTGCAACCATCAACTTCATCTTTGGTAGAGAGTCAGGCTTCTGCCTTCTGCAATGGTCCTTTGATTATCGATTCTTGGGTTGGCTGGACTGGTGGGTACATCATATGATCTGTCCTGGAGTCACAGTGTTGCATTATTTGTAAGTAATTCATACCCTTACAATCAAGGCCTTGTTTGCCAACCCTGTGTCTTGGGTTCCTTGTTCCAAGGCTTACCTTTTCCCATGTCATTCACATGGTGGTTCAGTTACCTCGAGATGATTTCGGGGCTTAGCGTCCCTGTGGCCCATTGCTCGACCAGGCCTCCTCATTGCTGGACTGGTCAACCAGGATGTCGGAGGCGGCTACTCGCAGCCTGACATATGAATCACAGCCTGGGTGATCAGGTATCCTTTGGAGGTGTTTATCAAATTCTCTCTCTTGAACACTGTGAGGGGTCGGACAGTTCATTATATGTCTCCAGGTAAGAACACTGAGGGGTGAGGGGTCAGCCAGTTCAGCCAGCCAAATGTGTATCATTCCTTTTAATGATGTGAAAAATTTAGCTGCTTTACCAATACGTTCAAAACTAATATGGTGATCCAGCACACTGTTGGCCTCTTGTTACTTAGGATGTCCTTCAGCATCATGTATTTTTGTTGCGTTTGGGCATGTGGAGTGCAACTGATATACATCTGCTATAATCCCCTCCTACTGGCTGTTCTTTTTCCTTTCCAGAAAAGCCAGCCTCCTCTACCAAGGCCCTGTTATGAGTAAGCTTAGTGAGCTACTGAGGGGGCCCCTCCCAGAAATCAAAAGTTGAATGTAATGACATGCCCTTTTCTGTTATGCCTTCCTGTAGCTTACTGTTCCTTGTTCCTCCCTGTCCCTTTCTTTATTGTGGTTAGTAAACTTAGCACAGGTGGCTCCAGTGTGACTGTCTTGGCTGGCACCTCAAGTGACCTGGGCTGCCATATGATGGTGATTTAGTGCAACAGAATTTGGATATTTACTGGAGTGAAACTATCATTAGCTTCGTTTCCCTTGGGATACCTCATTTCCTTCAAGTACTTGTTTTTTTTGTTGTACTTATACTTTCTGTTGAGTTTCCAAGTTTGGTGGTTGATCTCCTATTCCCTGCTTCTCTCATTTTGTAGAGGGAGCCAAGTGCTCTAGTATTGGCCTGACGGCTCAGTGAACAGTGCTTTGGACAGTGGAGATCTCCATTCGCGGTGGAGGCGGAAATAAATGGGAAGAGTTTCTTTCACCCTGATGCTCTGTTCACCTAGCAGTAAATTAGGTACCTGAGAGTTAAACAGCTGCTATGGTCTCCTTCCTAGGGGTGTGTCATAAACAGGAGGCCTGGTCGAGGACCGGGCTGCGGGAGACGCTAAGCCCTGAAATCATCTCAAGATAACCTCAAGATTGTCTCTCATGAGGCAAAAGATGGGCTAAGGGTTAGTAGTACCAGAGATAAGTTTGAGGAGCTATTGGGGCCCACCAGAAAGGGAATTTCATTACATTTAAATCTGGTATATTTAGTCTTAATATTTCTTGTTAGCTTTATATTGGAATGTGTATGGAGAACTGTAGCTATCTGTATAAAGCAAAAACACTGGAAAGAAAAAAAATGACCTTCAATAGCACATACTGAATGTGGGATAAAGGAAAGATTTGAAAGGCATGAGAAAGGGTAACAAGGATAAAAAAATGGGAAAATAACAAAGGTGAAAACCCTCCAGCAGGCCACGAAGCGGTGCTGCATAGTGCATGTATGCAAAATAATCATTAGAGATTGAGTACCCCTTTATGATGCTATATGATAATAGTCCAAATGGGTGTCAAAGGTCAACTAGATAATCATCATTACAGTATATGCATTGTCTTGATAACAATGTAAACACCTTTATCATTCAAAGTAAACTGAACTAAACTAGTAACTTACACAAGAACCAGCCAAAATTTCACCCCAAAGTGGAATATTTCCCTTTTTGTCAGTGAGTTTGTCACGGACCAGGTCATTCACCGTGAGCTTGATGGCCTTCTCTGGAGCCACACCAATCAACTGGGGTACCAAGCCACGATACAAGCCCATGACGCCTTCATGACGGATTACCTGTAAAAAGCAATGCAGATAAAGCTTGCTACTTTTGGAAAACTAAAACTCTGTTACTACTTTAGATAACATATCAAACAAAAGTGAAGATTTATATCTTATAAAGTGCAAACTTTTTAATATAAAAACATGAATCAGCTCTACTAAGTTTGCTTAAATATGCTTGAGCTGAAAAAATATGAATAAGAAAAAATAATGCAGGATAAAAACAGCACTCCGAGTGTAGATGATAAACTCATTTCTGAGCAGACCACTCAGTTTGTCCTGTAGTCAAATTCCTACTTTTGCCAAAAAAACAAGCCTGGATCTATTTGCAAGATTGCAGTAGTTTTTGGTTTGCTCTAATGTGCATTTGTCAGTCTTGATCTCTGTGGTCTGGTTATCCCTCTGCCTGTGTTTTGGTGGTTTTCGTCTCACTGTTGAGGGTCAGTTCCCTTTCTTACAGTGAGAGGCTGGACTCTGTTGTTGTTTGGCTTCTAGTTTCTTGGAGTTTGGCTCTTGGTGTAGTTCCTCGAGTGGTGTATCAACTATGCTCGGAGACACACACTCGAGTTCCATCCCCTTTGGGATACATCCTTCCGTGGGTTTAGCAAGCTGTTTGGGTTTGTGGGGGTTTAGCAACTTGCTCTTGCATGACACTGGTGGCTTTTGGTGTTTGTTGTCCAGTTTTATCATCATTTAGCTGATGATTGAGTGGCTGTACAAGAGTGTAAGAACTCATGTACAGTATATATATAAATAAATAAATGCTAAATGCTATACATGCTAGTGGCTGTTCAAGAATGTAAGAACTCTTGTATATATAAATAAATAAATAACAAATGTTATCATGAGATTATATATATATATATATCAAATCGACTAGCATTCGAACCCCCGCCACCAGATATCACCCCGTGGCACCTGCACCTGCAACCACCTCACCGATGATGATAAAGAAAAGAAGTCACTGAAGTAGTTGACTGGAACTCTGGACAGCGAGGCCGCGGAGGACACTCCCACAGCTGGGCTACGACGGTTTCTCGTCGTAGATAAATATTTATAGATAAATAAATATAAATATTTTATATAAATAAAAATAGATAAATAAATAAATATTTATATTATTATTATTATACTTATTATTATTATTATTAATATACTTAATAATAATAATAATAATAATAATAATAATAATATTATTATTATTATTATTATTATTATTATTATTATTATTATTATTGAGAAAATCGGTAGGGGCCATGAAGAGAATACGAACCTGCCCACCGAGTACTCCCAATTGCAAGATATTCCTGCATTAGCCCAAAGCCTCTGGCTGGTCCATGAAGTGTTACTCGTTTCTCATTTCTGTCTAACTTAGGCAGTGTATGAGTATTTGACTCATATGTTCGCTTCAGTAAGATTATTCCCAATGCATTTAACAACTTCTTCTACTCGGTTGAATTTTAGTTAAAATCTTATTTGGTTCGTAACTCTGCACTGTGTTAGACAATGTCCCAGTGGTCTGCCGGGCAGTGGGATATCCATGGTGGCAGTTTTTCACTGGAGATAAAAATCTGAGATTTCCAGTATTATTTACCTCTGGTTCAGCTTCACCTTTTTCTTCCACCTTCTGTCAGGAGTGTGTTTCTGGTTTCTAGGTGGCGGGCTCAGCCATAGACTCAGGGACTATGGGCTCAGTGTTCAAATCTGTGTGTGTCTTCTCTGAGGCTGTCTTTCCAGGGATTGGTCGGGTGTCATTCCTCAATTGTTCGTGGCTTTCCATCACTCTTCACGTTATGAGTTTTTGGTTGTACAGTATCTCCCACCTTTCTCTGGTGAGGGGGTGATGTCCCGCACTCCCAAAGTGGGTGACAATGATAGAAGAGAAATTGTACACAGAAGGAATGCTGCTATGATTTTTTTCAACTGAATGGAAGGGAACAATCAGGGGAGAGCGCCAAGCCTGGTGGAGTACCATAAGGCTTGGAAGTTACTAGGTGGGTACAGTATATCTGGGAGCCACTAAAGGACCCTCCGGAAAGAGGCATTTCCTTAAATTCAATGCTGGATGTTTCAGCTTATAGAAAAACTAAAGGAATACAAATGCAAAGTTTTACATGATTCTCATATCAAAGTAGAGCTGGTACAAAGACATATACTCACCTTTTTAAAGCAATCAAAGGAGTTACGATACATAAGCTCCCCAATATAGGAGCCCGTGCGCTGATTCTGCATTCGTGTTTTAACAAGATCAATAGGATACACTGCAGTAGCACCAACAGCTGAAAACAAAAAGTTACAAGAGAAGAAATTATTTAATCAAGTTGCAAGTCATACTGCTAATAAGATATGGATATTTAAAATACACATAAGAGATAAAAGAAAAGGTTAAAGATGAGAACCCAGATATAGGGGCAATCCCAAATGAACACATTGGTAAAGATAATAAATGTATTATACCATACATCATCATTACACCGTATCTCACTTTTATGCAGTTTTAGAGGAAAAAGCCAGGGGAGGGAGGGAGGGAGGGAGAGAGGGGGAGGGGAAGGAATTATCAGGGGGAAAAGTACCAAGCCATTACGACTATTGAGCAAGCATAGGAAAAACTGAAGATATAAATAATTTACACTGCTGCACTCCAGCAAATCCTTCACAGCAAGAACACCATACACCATCATTTAACAGGAATAGGTGTACAGTGCTTTTCATGAGTTGTCATGTACACACAAAATCACTCGCTTCCTCTTCTCCTTGGGCTGGACGGTAGTGCTGGTCTAGCTTCATGCAGGTCGGCGTTCAATCCCCAACCGTCCCAAATGGCTGGGCACCATTTCTTTCCCCCACCCCAAGCCCAAATCCTTATCCTGACCCCTTCCAAGTGTTATATAGTTTTAATCGATTTGTGCTTTCCCCTGATAGGTCCCTTCCCTTCTCAAACTGTTGCCACACAGCCTTTCTGGAGGAGCATCTTGGTGAATCCCTGAAGATATCTCACTGAGACGGTGTCCCATTACTGAGTTACACCAGCCACAGGAGTCCTGTTTGGCCTACCAGGGACCTGAACCAGAACCTGTCTCTCCTAACAGAGGTGCAGAGAGATGGGGATTGTTATGGTTACCCAAACCGAGGAACCATCCAAGAAGTAAGGGAAGAAATGCAGACAATGTTCACAAAAAACATAGTACAGAAACAACCAAACAACTCTGTAGACAATTCATTCAAAACAACGGGTTCACTCAAAATTAGCTCACACTTCCCTAGGGCAAATGGCTGCCAACATGGAATGCCCTGGAAGCTACAGGCTTCCTTTCCAGCCAGTCCTGTCTTTGATGTCAGACCCATCTGACCTTCCTGATTAGTGTCAATATGTCTATTCCCACTTCGTTTCTAGGATAAGTGCTGGCTATTCTTTGGACTATGTTCTATGGGAAGCATTTGCTTGTCTCATTCAAAGTTTTCAATATTTGCTTCGCAAGCACGTTTTACATGTTGCACTTCTTGCGTAGACTTGCATAATCTGCTCTCACGACGAGCTTCATGCATTCATTGCTGCCCTTGCCAAAGTGCTTATTTAATTTCCCTTGCATTGACAGTATTTACTGAGAAGTCTGTGGCTTCTCAGGCTCACAACCCTGAGAAGCCAAGCCACCAGGATGGTGATCTGCATCCTAGGTAGTGACCAAGTCTTTGACACCTGAGACCGTGCTTTTGGAGTGATAGGGTCGCTTATTGTGGGGTGTGCTAGGGTTCATGCACTTGTTTATACAGCACGCCTCAGACATCTCTCATTGCCAAGTAAACCTGTGGGCTGGGTTCAGTGTGTTTTTACGGGCTCGGAAGTGTCTGTGCTCGGGTGTCCTGCTTTTTTTATGATACAGTACTTCATGATCTTGTAACTCCCCATTGGGTCTACAGCATGATTCGTAATGGATTGACCCAATAAACCTGCTATCACTACAGGTGAACTTGAAAAGAGCTTGTTGGTCTTGCTACATGTCAATTGACGTTTTATCCATCTCTGCCAAGTAGCCTGTTGGGTCAGCAGCACCTTCAACCCCTTGTATTGCATTGATGGGTTTCTATATTATCTGAGCCTGCCTCAAGACAGAAGGTTTATTAAGCAGCTGCAAATTTGCAGGCTCATTTTCCCCCACATTTGTGGTTTGTGGCAAAAACCACAAAAAAAAAATATAAATTGTTTGCTGTGGATTCCAAAACACTGAAATTATTTCTGCAAAATCATCAAAGAATCATCAATTCATTTTAAATGAATTTATAATACAAGTTCATATTTAGTTTCCTAGATGTCTTTGTCCAAATTTTAATGGACCCGCATACATACCTCTTTCTAAGCATAAAATGGATTTAAATTCAGCAAATTACAAAAGAAATTACAGAAGGTACTGAAATGTTATAGAAAATTCAGTGCAACTTACCGCCAGCAAATGAACCAAGAGTGAATCTGTAAGCCTGCTCCAACACCTGGATCAAGAAGCCACGCTGTTCTGGACTTTGGACGGCCTTGATGTCTGTCAGCTTGCGGGTGATCACCTTCATATATTGTTCTGGGGTAAGAGCTTCTAGATCACTGTACACTATTTTCCTGAGAAATAAAAGCCATTATCTAGAGATACAATACATTTAAACTATGATACAAATTGATGTATTTTATTTTAAGTAAAGTGTTCTTACTTCAGATAATACTAAGCAGTGTCATTATTTTGTGGGAAGAAAGACCAGCGTTAATTGTAATGAAATGCCATTTTCTGGGTAAAGCCCCGGAGGCTCCCAGGAGCTATTGGGCTAATATGTGATATATTAGACTAGGGCATTAGTCAGTGGAGTTCAGCTTACCGGGGACCACGAGCCAGAACCTGGCCCCCCCTCAGATAGGCAAGGTAGCGATGGCCTCTGGAAACTCCCTTGTGGTTGGGGGGGAATTCTTTGTCTGCCATCAACCGGGGTTTGGCACCCAGAAAGGTAGGCATACCAAAACAAACCCCATTTGATAAGAAAATTGCAACTGAAGACCGAAAAGGAAGGTAGAACTTCCTCAATTCTCAAGGAAACAAGCAAACAAGCAAACATTCCATCACCGCATGTCGCCACTTGTCCGTGCAGCCCTCCACCCCCTCCCCCAAGAAGGGGAGGGGGAAGCCTTGGACCCACTGCGCCGGCTACCCAACCTCAGTTCGAAGGCTAAGTATCAAAAGCAAAATGAAACTGCCGACTGGAAGGAGGGAGGGTGCCGGGGAGCCTCCAAGGTTTCACCCAGACAATGGCGTTTCATTACATTCAACACTAGTTTTCTGTGGGGAGCCCTGTTGGTTCCCTGGATCTACAAAACCCAAGATAAGTAAAAGAGGGACTCACCCGGGAGGCGGCTGCCACGCGCTCCTCAACTCGAGGTAGAGACAACTAGCTATAACCTGCGACCCAAAGTCACACACGAACGCCCAGGACCAGGAATGTTTACCAAATGATGGGTGGCCAGGACCCTGTTTGACCTCCAAAATCCCCGCACCCGAATGTCAGCCCAAGACATATTGCCGAAGATGGCAGCCAAACCAGCAAACTTACGAACGTCATGGGCACATGGATAGACTGCAGCCCGGCTAGCTTTAATTACCTTGTGGATGACCTGGGAGACCCTAGTCCTGGAACAGGAAATGAGGAAAACTGGATCAACCCAAAGTGCATCCCCAGCCACCGAGGTCAAGGTGCGCAGATAACAGCGAAGAGCCGCAACTGAACACAATACATGATGCACCCCTGACCTGACCAACCAAGCATCAATGATGCAAGGGTCCCTCCAGAAAGCTGCCGTCTCGTTCTTGATCAGAAGAGAAGGATATGGCTGCAACCGAACAAACCGACTACCAGGACCGAAGGAGCAGAAACCTCGGCGCCGGAGGAGAGCATGAAGCTCGCCAACCCAACCCCCGAGAGGCCAATACCAACAGAAAGAGAACCTTGGAGAAACAATCTTGAACCGAAGAGGCTATCACAAACCTAGGAGAAGAGAGCAACGAGAGCACCTGGTCCAAGGACCAGGACGGCTCAAGCGGAGCATGAGCAGGCTGGAGATGAAACAAAGCACGAGAAAGCTTACGTACCGGGTGGAAGTGACATCCACCCTGAATGCAAGCTGAAGTGGCTCCACCACAGCCACACCATACGAGGCAAAAGTATTCAACAAAAAATGGTGAAAAGAACACTAGGAAACTCCATACTGTCGCCGAGACGAAGTGACAGTATGGGTCCGGAATACTGACTGTACTCCCAGGGCAGTGCCAGGACCTGACTGTAATCCTGGTGCAGTACTAGGACCTGACTGTAATCCCGGGGCAGCACTAGGACCTGACTGTAATCCCGGAGCAGCACTAGGACCTGACTGTAATCCCAGGGCAGCACTAGGACCTGACTGTAATCCCAGGGCAGCACTAGGACCTGACTGTAAACCCATAGCACCACTAGGAACTGACTGTACTACCGGAGGGCAGCTCTGGGACCTGCCTGTACTCCTGGAGCAGTGCTAGGACCTGGCTGTAATCCCAGGGCAGTGATAGAACCTGACTGTAATCCAGGGCCAGTACTAGGACCTGACTGTAATCCCAGAGCAGTGCTAGGACCTGACTGTAATCCCAGAGCAGCACCAGGACCTGACTGTAATCCTGGTGCAGTGCTAGGACCTGACTGTACTCCCAGGGCAGTGATATGACCTGACTCTAATCCTGGGGCAGCACTATTACCTGACTGTAATCCCATAGCAGCACTAGGAACTAACTGTACTTCCGGGGGCAGCTCTAGGACCTGACTGTACTCCCAGAGCAGCACCAGGACCTGACTGTACTCCCAGAGCAGCACCAGGACCTGACTGTACTCCCAGAGCAACACCAGGACCTGACTGTACTCCCAGAGCAGCACCAGCACCTGACTGTACTCCCAGAGCAGCACCAGCACCTGACTGTACTCCCAGAGCAGCACCAGGACCTGACTGTACTCCCAGAGCAGCACCAGGACCTGACTGTACTCCCAGAGCAGCACCAGGACCTGACTGTACTCCCAGAGCAGCACCAGGACCTGACTGTACTCCCAGAGCAGCACCAGCACCTGACTGTACTCCCAGAGCAGCACCAGCACCTGACTGTACTCCCAGAGCAGCACCAGGACCTGACTGTACTCCCAGAGCAGCACTAGGACCTGACTGTACTCCCAGAGCAGCACCAGGACCTGACTGTACTCCCAGAGCAGCACCAGGACCTGACTGTACTCCCAGAGCATCTACATTGGCTGATGCCTATCTACCCTGAGGGAGGTAGGGTGGCCAACTTCCTTGGAGATCCAGAAAACTAATATGTACAGAAACCTAGAACATTGTTTCAGGTTCATACTAATAGGCCCCGAGACCCTGGGCGCCTGCAGTAAATGTGCACTTAAGTTCCTAAAGAAGTTGGGTTAGGAACTCACTAGGCAAACTAGAGACTCAAGTGTGGCCAGTTTCCTGTTCCGGCGCCTCAGTATCGCGATCCAGAAAGGAAATGCTTGCTGTATCTTGGGCACACACCCCACCTCCGAAGAGCTGGATGAGGTCTTCAAAGAGTGATTGTTGTGTGTGTGCGCGTGTAATTACCTGAGTGTAGTTCTGGGAGACCGTCGGCCGAGCAGACAGCACGCTGGACTTGTGGTCCTGGGTTCGATCCCAGGTGCCGGCGAGAAACATTGGGCAGAGTTTCTTTCACCCTATGCCCCTGTTACCTAGCAGTAAAATAGGTACCTGGGTGTTAGTCAGCTGTCACGGGCTGCTTCCTGGGGGTGGAGGCCTGGTCGAGGACCGGGCCACGGGGACACTAAAAAGCCCCGAAATCATCTCAAGAAGATAGTTACAGGATGAGAGCTACGCTCGTGGTGTCCCATCTTCCCAACACTCTTTGTCATATAACGCTTTGAAACTACTGACGGTCTTGGCCTCCACCACCTTCTCACCTAACTTGCTCCAACCGTCTACCACTCTGTTTGCGAAAGTAAATTTTCTTATATTTCTTCGGCATCTGTGTTTAGCTAGTTTAAATCTATGACCTCTTGTTCTTGAAGTTCCAGGCCTCAAGAAATCTTCCCTATCGATTTTATCAATTCCTGTTACTATTTTGTACGTAGTGATCATATGACCTTTTTTCTTCTGTCTTCTAGTTTTGGCATATTTAATGCCTCTAACCTCTCCTCATAGTTCTTGGCCTTCAGTTCTGGGAGCCACTTAGTAGCATGTCTTTGCACCTTTTCCAGTTTGTTGACGTGCTTCTTAAGATATGGGCACTACACAACCGCTGCATATTCTAGCTTTGGCCTAACAAAAGTCGTGAACAATTTCTTTAGTATATCGCCATCCATGTATTTAAAAGCAATTCTGAAGTTATAAAGCGTGGCATAGGCTCCTCGCACAACGTTCTTTATGTGGTCCTCAGGTGATAGTTTTCTATCTAGAACCACCCCTAGATCTCTTTCTTTATCAGAATTCTTTAAAGATTTTTCACATAATATATAGGTTGCATGGGGTTTATGGTCTCCTATTCCACATTCCATAACATGGCATTTATTAACATTAAATTTCATTTGCCAAGTGGTGCTCCATATACTTATTTTGTCCAAGTCATCTTGAAGGGCAAGACAATCACCTAAGTTTCTTATCCTTCCTATTATCTTAGCATCATCAGCAAACAAGTTCATATAATTCTGTATACCAACTGGTAGATCATTTATGTAGACAATAAACATCACTGGTGCAAGAACTGAACCCTGTGGTACTCCACTTGTGACATTTCTCCAGTCTGATACATTGCCTCTGATCACTGCCCTCATTTTTCTATCAGTCAAAAATATTTTCATCCATGTTAGCAGCTTACCTGTCACCCCTCCAATATTTTCCAGTTTCCAGAACAACCTCTTATGTCGAAAGCCTTTTTTAGGTTCAGATAGATGCAGTCAACCCAACCATCTCTTTCCTGTAATATCTCTGTGGCTCGATCATAGAAACTGAGTAAATTCGAAACACAGGATCTTCCAGTTTGAAAACCATACTGTCTGTCTGATATTATATCATTTCTCTCCAGGTGTTCTACCCATTTAGTTTTAATTATTTTTTCCAATATTTTGACTATTACACTTGTCAATGATACAGGTCTATAATTAAGGGGGTCTTCCCTGCATCCACTTTTGTAGATTGGAACTATGTTAGCCTTTTTTTACACATCAGCTACAACTCCTGTAAACAGGGATGCCTGAAAAATCAGTTGAAGTGGAATGCTGAGCTCAGGTGCACATTCTCTCAGAACCCATGGTGAAACTCCATCTGGACCAACTGCTTTGTTCTTATTTAGCTCCTTGAGCATTTTTTCCACTTCGTCTCTAGACACCTCTATGTGCTCTATGCTGTTCTCTGGAATTCTTATTGTGTCTTGTTCCCTGAAGATTTCATTTTGTACAAACACCCTTTGGAACTTTTCGTTTAATGTTTCACACATTTCCTTTTCATTTTCCGTGAATCTATTTCCCATTTTCAACCTCTGAATATTATCCTTTACTTGCAATTTGTTGTTTATGAATTTA